GTGTCGAACAATACTCCATCTATGGACAATCTATTGTTCACAGACAAATAACCAAATTATCATCGCCACATTCAATGTCATTAAATATGCATGTAACTACTTAATCGCTGACTTGTCTTTGGGTCAATCAGCAGCCTTATAAATTACATACACAACCTTCTAACATATAAAATAAATCGATCTACACAGCAGATGCTACTTTGGCAACACTACAATTTCAACCAATTCATAAAATACATTATACTCTTTATTGCTAATTAAATTCACCTTAAAATAAACTATGTATGTCCAATACATATGAAAGCTATAACAACAGTTAATTTATGTACTCATCAAAATAATCAAATAGTCCATAAAATACTAAATGCAGCGGAATCACACAGAAAAAATATGTCACCCAAAGAGACTATAAATTTAATATAATGAATATTTATAGTCGAATTTGAACAAATGCATGCAGTAAAAAATACATGCTATGTATCTCAAATTTAACTAGATCATTAAGCGGATCAAAATGAATTCACAATTATGTTTATAAATCAACTGATTAAATCAAAACACTATATTGATACAAATATCAAATAAATTGATCTGCATGATTCCATAAACTGATCCCATGAATTGCAAATTCATAGTCATAATTGCATATAAATATTATATATTGCCAAATTGCAAAATTATTTTGACCAAAATTAAATAAACAAACTAAACTAAGAGCTGCCGTATATGGACGTGCGATTCCAACTATAATTGTACACTCATGAATATGGATGCATATTTAATAAATTGATTTACACAAAATAGATGTATAAATGAATAAATAAACACCCAAGATTGTACGTCATAGTTGTACCCTTATTCACACACATATAATTTTATACTTAAATAATCAATTTAATCATATGTTTTCAATACAAATAAAATTTTCAATGGGAGCAAATTATATCTAAAATATATTAGAATAATTCTAATTCCATAAAATATTTCCAGAAATTACGATAATAAATAAATGGCAGCCGCTCATATCTTAATCTGATTTCAAGAATAGTTACACATAATCAAAAGTGGACAGACAGTCAGACAGACAATAGCTATGACCAAATTAGCTATAACCAAACATATGCATGTCTTATTTCATTAGATTCCATATATTATTAAATAATAATAATATCTAAAATACACATATGTATGGGTTTCAAGATTCATAACCAATGAGATAAATTTTATCCAAATTAAAATTAATAGCAATAATAATCCATAACTCTTTGAGCACAATCATTATCGTAGCACAATCTACATAAATTTAAAATTATTTACATAAGTTATACATAACTGCACACAAGAAACCCACATATATTTTATTCTCATTGCTATCCCAATAAGTGGATCAAGATCAGTCATTAAAGATAAAACAGATTGAATCTCGGACAACGTTCATTCCAAATATGTCAATTCATGCATCTTAATTTGGTTTCGAATTCAAAAATTACTTCTTTCAAGAAAAAAAAATTGCACAAATAAAGCAGTAATGAGTTCGATTAATGCAAACGCAGTGGAAGTCGGTTATGATAAATCGACAAGCAATAATGAAAATTCACACCAATGTAGTTCAGATCCATTGGTAAATAAAATATCTGAATACTCAACACGAAAAAGTTTCCTCAAGGTAATTAATTACGCATATAAATTAACGCATATATGATGTGCACAGAAGACATTACAGAAGAATCTGAACACTCTGTCGAACGCAGGAAAAATTTAGTAATTTAATATTTTGTATAAATTAATTTCAAAATAAAATTCACAATTTTCCTAAAAACAGAATGAAATTTTCTCAAATTGAAGGATCGGATCTTGATCAAAAAAATATCGCAAAAAACAAAATATTTTCAAATAATAAATTAAAGCGAATCTTGATCAAGAATTTGATGAGAAGAAAATTCAAAGCAAGACAGAGGCAAAAATGTCTCTAATACCAAATGTTAGAAGATAAACATCTAATCAAATATATTAGCGGAAGCAAATAACGTAATTTAAACAAACCTCCAGCCTGCTAAAAATTAAATTTGTTCTTGGGATCTTCTTCTTCAAGAACAGTAGATTGGAACCTGTTGCCAACTCTGGAATCCTTGGGAAGATGTTGCCAAACTTTGGAAGCTGTGAAGATATTGCAATATCCTGTAGCCCTAGGATAATGTTACAAACCCTAGCTCTCAAACAACGATGGTGTATTCTGATTTTCTTTAACCATTGCTAAAAATTAAATTTGTTCTTAAGATCTTCTTCTTCAAGAACAGTAGATTGGAACCTGTTGCCAAATTTTGGAACCCTTTGGAAGATATTTCCAAACTTTGGAACCGTGTGAAGATATTGCAAGATCTTGTAACCCTAGGATGATGTTGCCAAACCCTGCCTCTCAAAAAAGCGATGATGTATTCTGATTTTCTGAGAGTAGGTTTAGTAACTTTATGTCAGAGTATTTATAATTAAAAGAAAAACCGTCCATTGCGATTTTTCTACCACTTCTCACATATATTTTGAATGTGATAGACTTCATGGGAGAAAAATGGGGGAGAAAAATGGGCCACAATGTAAGGTTAGTTCAATTATATAAGATAATTAAAAAATAATCAAAATTTAAATATGATTAATTAATTAATTAAACTAACGTTAAATTGTTCAGTTATTTTTAAATCAAATTTTAATATATGTTTAATAAAAAATTTCGAATGATATTTTTTAAAATAAATAAATAAATAATAAACACAAAATCCGACCCATTATCTTTGTAGAAGGCCAATAATTATTTTGGACATTTTGGACCATCAAATTCCATAATCATACTCAAAGAGAGTGTTTGGGAAATACGTTTTGAAGAGCTTTTAGCTTATTGAACAGTTTTTAACTGTTTGACCAGTTAAAAAACTAATTTAGATGTTTGGTAAATTAGCTTTTTGAAAGAGCCAAAAAGCTAATTTCTAAAAAGCTCGTCTATCCAGCGTTTTGAAAGAGCTTTTTCATTTTAATTTTGCTTATTCCTTATTTATCCTTAAAACCTAATTATTTATTTTTTACATATAAATATATTTTTATAGCAGTATTTATTAATTATTTTTAATATATTTAATTTATTAAATTATATTTTTATTTTTGTAAATTTAAAATTATTATTAATTATTAGATATAAATTATTTTATTTGTAAAATATATAATTTTTTAAAACTAAATCAAATAGAAAAAACAAAGGTTATTAATTTATTTATATATATTAAAATAATAATTAACATAATAAAAATATATATACGAAAGATTTATTATTTTATATTTTACATAATTTCAATAATAAATTATTATTTTTTAGTAAAAATAATTTTCTCAGATCTAAATAATAATAATAAAAATAAATATTATATATTATTTTTATAATTTTCAATAATTAATAACAAAATTGTCATAATAAATATTTAAAAAAATAACATGTCAATGTCCTTAATGGTGATTTATGTATAAACAATTAATGTCAAAAAGTTGTTTTACCAAACACTTTAATACAAATCGCTAATTGAATGAGCTAGTCAAACCAGCTAATTGAATCATCTAACAGCTAACAGCTAAAAGCTGTCAACTAATTGCCAAACGCACCCAATGTCTCGTGATTTTAGCACGGGTAATTTTGAAGAACAAAATTTTAATTTATTTTGCAATTCAAAATTTTATTACTGAAAAAATAAAATCTTAAAGATACTACAGTTAGATAGAAATGAAAAATACCATACAACATGCTCCATTTCTTAATTCCAAGCATATCCAAATACATGTTATAAACAACAAAAGCCTAAAAATCATAAAAACTGAACACTTAGATTTACACTCGAAACATACCTAAAAGCTTACAAAAAACTCAATCACGGCGCGAAACAATGAACTCGAAAAACACAGTAAAGGCACACATCGCAGCGAGGAATTTCTTTATAAATTTTCCAAAAAGAGAATTTTTTTACGAAATAAGTAACAAGTTAAACAGAGTAAATAAATCTTTCACGATATCACCCTTCAATTCCTTCAACATTAGAAACAACAAATATAACTACAAAATTAATCAATTCAGAGAGGTCGTCGGGGGCATCGATCCATATGTTCTCATACGGCTTCTCGTTGCATAGATTGTAGCCTTCTTGTCCGGGGAAGAATTGCTTTTGCGTAAGGGAATATATAACTTGGCGCTTCCCGTAAAAAGTCACCTTCGAGAAATAAATACTATTTCTCATTATACCTATCATATCTGTCCGAACAAACGAGGTCATATAGTTAGCAAAAATGGTCAGGCCGCCGAGGTCTTCGATCTCCACCTGCTCGTTTGCAGCGCTGTCGAGCTTATGTACAAAAGGGTTAAGAAACGGGTAAGCGTATATCAAATAAATATCCCCGGCATGCTCTGCCATGTGCATCGCCTGCTCGCCTATGTCAAGCGGGTTCGCCCTTACGCACTCGGGTCGTTTGACAGGGACGACGGACCAGGCACTATTATCGGTATCGTAACATCCCAATTGGCCGCTTTGGCTAAGGCAGTAGAAGCGTCCGTTGCAAAAAGTCCATTGATTCGGATTGCTGCTGATGAACGGTTTCCGGGTTCTCGAAATGGTTGACAGTCCATGCGGCATCCCCGGGGCGATATGTGCTGAATGCGATCACATGACGCTGAAGCTGCATTAGTGCAATCACAATGCAGCCGGGAGTGTTCGGCGCGGCTGAAAAGGCGGCTAATTTACTCGGAAAATCCATTGGCGGCAATTCAACGGCCTTCTGAGTGTACGGGCTGTAGAATGTAAGCGAAAGGCGTACATGGCTGTAGAGCAACAGCCAACTGTCGTTGCAGTAACAGACGAGTCTGTACTTTATCCCGGACAGCCGTAGGTAATTCGACTTGCGCTCAAGCGGGTCGTATAACTCGTTTGTTTTATACATCCACGAGTGGTACATGATCCATCCACGAGTGGTACATGATCCAAGGGTGCTTGTTGGATACTCGGACAGACTTTGCCACAGCCATCCATCTGTGGCAGACACCGGATGCCCGGACGTTGTCTACCAGGCTTAAGCGCGTGAGGATGTTTTCCAGAAGTTCGACTGGAATATCCGACTCTTCGGCCTTTTTATTTGGCCTCCTCGGAAAATCCTCGATTCTGAGGCTCGATTCGTTACTTTTTTTCCCAGAGATCCTGCAAATATTATATTGAAAATAATTAATTGATTAGACTGAGAAACAAAAAGAACTAACAAATGTCAGACCATAAATAAGAAAATTAAATGTGGGACGTACATGTACAATTTATGCGGCCTAAATGCACTAATACACTGCATGCTTTATCATAAAATGGAACTCTTATGACCTGCGAATATTTTGGCACTTCCAATCTACGTGGAGAATTAATATGATCTGATAAACACGAGCATATATGTAAAGTGATCTTATTTATCTTCTAATATGTAAAGCAACTTTCTCGTTATCCTTCACAACTACCTAGGACACGGCCACGTGCGAAAGACAACAACTATACCTTGTAGCACAAGCACATTAAATAGGACACGTATCTAAAAGAATTTCGATCACATATGTCATCTCAACCGTTATAACATCGTAAACAAGAAAAAAAAAATAGAACCGTTATACCGTTGTAAAACTAACATGAATACTTATGAACTACAAGACTAGTTGATTGGGTGGATCAAAGATTGGAAATCCTTTTCTTGCGGGAAAAGCGAGTGTTTCAAGTTGATGAAAAAAAAAAAAAAGCCCTAAGACATATAAACATCGTTATTTTCCAAAACAAAAACTGTATTCTGAAATATAATAGGACTAAATTAGCATATATCAAAACCATTTTTAATCTACATTGAAATCAACCTTCCAATTGATGAATGCAGCTCATCCATTAATGCCATACATTTCAAACATAATTGCATAGAAGAAGATTATGATTTTGCTGAATAGAATTGTGGAAAATCAAGCTTCCCTGAACAAGCACAAAAAATGAGTTCTATGGTGAACTCAAATTAACATCCACACCCAACAAGTATTAGAATCAACAAAAGAAAACAACCTGCAGATGCATCACAATCGAAACCCAAAACCCTAACCAGGAAAAAAAAAAGAAATCCAAGGATAATCAACCTCTACGTCTAAAGCATAAACAACATTGAATCACAACAAAAACAGCACAACTAAATGCCAGAAGAAACTCCAACTGAAATCGCCAAACTGGAGAAAAAAGCCATAAAGAAACAAAAAACCAAAAATCGCCTCAAAAAATGAAAAATCAAAACAATAAAATGAAGAAAACTTACAATCTCAGAATTTTCATCAGCTCAACATGCATGATTGCCGGAGAAGTGTATAGAGCTGAGTACCTGTGAAAAGGAGAGAGAAAATGGAGCGCCGCTGCTGCTGCTGCGATGGGACCGAACGTGAGGACAGCAAAAGATTTGCTGTTTTCAAACACAGGTATGAGCAGAGAGGCTTATGTACTTCTATAAAGACACTGACACGTGCAACCTTAATTTCACAGGACTTTTAAGAATACATATAATTAAAAAATTAATAATACATAGAATTCATAATAATTATATTACTCCTACTATAATTCATATGGTAATAAAATTTTAAAAATAATAGTAGTAAAAGTTGTTGTCTAAAAATTGAATATGAAACAAGTAAAGAAGTATTATTTTATATTTTGAAAATATTACATGATACTGGAGATAAATAATAAAAAATAAAAATTGTATTTGTAATAATTTTCTCAGATATGTAATAATTTTCTATATTGTAATTTTTATGTATATAATAATATTATTTGCTTTTATAATATTCTAAGCATCCACTGAAAAAAAAAATAATAATATATTTGTAACGGAATTCTATTTTTAAATTTCAAGTAACGGAAAAGATGAATTTAAGAACGAAAAAATTTCGTTACAAAATTGATAATTTCTTGTAGTGATCAATTATATATTAAGAAAATATTACAAACATATTTCAGTATATTGTTTTATTACATACATTATAATTTTTCAAAAATAATAGTTTTTTTTAAAAACCATTGTAATATTTTGTTTGGTTTTGATTTGAGAATTTTTTTTTTTTGGTTTAAATAATATTTTGATATAATATTTTGAAAATAAAAATAATTTATATATACATTTTAAATCAATAACATGAAAAATTTAAATCAAAAGCAAACCAATCTTTATCTTTATTCTTTTTAATTTAGTTTCAAATTTTTATTATGCAATTTTTTCAATTTTTTATCAAATAAATTATATAGTAAAAAGAAATAAAAAATACCATAACTATGTTCTATCTCTTAATTTCAAGCACATTGAAATATATCTTATAAACAACAAAAATCAAAACCTAATTTGAGTACAACAAAAATCAAAACATACTTTGAGTACAAGAAAAACCGAAAAATGACAAAACCTGAACAACTGAATTGCATTCGACAAACACCCGAAAGCACACAACAAATACATTATATAAACACCGCCTCCACGCTGCACCATGTACATTGCCCGCTCGCCTATGTCGAGCCGGTTTGCCCTTATGCATTCAGGTCTTTGGTAGGGGAGGACGGACCAGACACCATTTTCAGAATTGTAACGTCTGTTGCAAAGAAGTCCATTGATTCAAACTGCTAGTGACAAATGGTTCAAAGTTTTCGAAATGATTATTGGTCTATGCAGCCTCAATTTTTGGGCAATATGTGCTGATTGTGATCCATTGGGGATGAAGTTGCCTTAGTACAATAACAATGCAGGAGTGTTCGGTAGGGGGCTAAAAAGGCAGCTATTTCACTTGGCAGTTCTAGTCTGGGCAATTTTTATACCGTGTAAGTTCACTTTTCGAATATAATATTTCTAACCTTTTTTTGCCTCTGCTTTCACAAAATTTGTATTGAAATAATACAAAGATTCAATGTTAATTTCAAGCAATAAAATCAAGAACAAAAGAACTGAAGGTGAAGAGACTATAAATTTGTAGTATGAGACATTCCTCTATTTATAGAAATACAGAAGTTCCATTTCAGAAAAGATACAATTGAAAATATATCTTTTTCATTGGAAATGTCAATTTTTTAGACACCTGAAGATGGATCGCGGAATACTTAAGTCCTCCATATATATTCTTTCCTATTGTAATTTCACATTAGATCTATACAATAAATTATATTTAAATATACAAAATATATCACAAGTCATACCAAGAATATGTTAAAATTTTAACAAAGTGTCATTGCAGTATGTACTATATCCAATGTAGCAAGAGGTAATGCAACTTACTCTTAAGTGGGTCATAGAACTCTTTACATCATTCATTCATGAGTCGTACATAATCCAAAGGTGGTTAATTGTTGGCTACTCGGAAATACTTGGCCACAACCATTCATCTTTGGTAGACGCCGGATGCCTGGAGGTTGTTTGCGAGACTTAGCCGTGAGAGGATGCGTTCTTGCAGTTCAACTGGAACATCCGACTCTTCAGCCTATTTACTTGGCCTTTTGGGAATAATCTCAATCTTGAGACTCGATTTGTCACTTTTTTTTTTATTCTTTTTCCAGAGATTCTGCCAGTATTATATTGAAAATAATAATGAGATTGAGAAAACAAAATGAACTAACAAATATTGATTGACAAATATGCAAATTTAATCAATCTTGAGATGGCCGCCGTTATGTGTGGACATGTATGTATAAAATATACGATGAAGATAAAATAATACACGACTTCTTTATAATATAATTAATGGAATGCTTTTGACCTAGGAACATTTGGCACATTCCTTCTATGTAGAGACAATTAATATGATCAGATAAATGCAGTGCATACATGTAAAGTTATCTTACCTCAGTATCATATAAAGCAACTAGACTTTACCATTATTCCTTCACAACTATCGACTTTACCTTTATAAAGATGGCATCCATGTATTAAATGAACTAGAAGAATATTTAGTCGTAACTCCGGAATAGTAGGAACCTCGAGAAACGAAGTTTGTGATACAGCAAGTTGAGGAATCTGTGCCTTGAAATGGCATTATCCAAGATGGATCATGCTAGTGAAATTATTATATGAGGTATATCTGGAAGCCATGTGAGCTTACGTATAGACACATGAGCATTAACTAGGACACACCACGTGCCGAAGACGACAACCTTACCTATACACAAGCAAATTTAAGAGCGAATGTATCTAAAAGAATATTTGATCAAATATGTCATCTTTATTGCTGAAAACTAACGTGATTAATGAACTACAAGACTAGCTGAATATTAGTTGGATCAAACACTAGCAAGGTAATCCGATGGCATACAATTTCAAGCATAATTTCAAAGAAGAAGAAGATGATTTTGCTGAAGAAATTGGGGATAAATAAGGCAAGGGATCTCTTTAAATCGGATGACTACCATAAATATAATATATATTTTTTAACACACCTCCCAAACGCAAGATACAATTGAACAAATTTGAATTTTCCAGAAGTGACCATAATAAGATGTAGTCGAGATCTTCCATTAATAAATTTGAATTTTCAAGATATAATCAAAAACAGAACTCCTAACACCACTCGATAGACTGTAATAAAAACAATACAACCTATGGATAAAATCAAATAGTTATCTAAACCTACCAAATCATTAATCTTCTAGAAGACTCTAATTGACTAAAATATAACCAATCCCTTTTTGAAAAACTACATGCCAATAAAGATGACCTTACTAACCTAGTATACAACAAATTTTCATTTAAAATAAAATGTAAGACATAAAATTGGATGAATTCCAATTGAGTATCTATTGTTTCCATTTATTCACCACATTGAGTGTATAGTACAATTATTTGTGGAAAATTTTAAAAGACAATATGGTAATGATTTTAAAATTCAAATGGAAGATTTCAATGGCGGAGTTAATACAAAATATTTAAATAAACAAAAATAAATTATAAACACACTAAACCCTAAATAGAATATATACACCGTATGTTTTTTATACTAATATTATTATTTGTTTTAAGCATTCGCACATATATAAATAAAAACAAGTTAATTATGTAATTTACATATTTAATTGTTAATATTATTTTATCATAATCTTTTAAAGAATAATATATTAGTGTAACTACAATTTAAATGCAAAATTTTGAAACCAAATATAGACAGTAAGTAAGTTACCTGTAATTACAAAGCCCTTTGAAATAAATGGCAAGTAATTAAATAAATTGCTAGTATTATTTATTAAAAACCCTACCTTTTGTTATTATGTTAAATTATCATTATTAAAAGAAAACAAAAATGTCTGTGTGGAGAGAACCCGGTGTAATGCACCGGTCACTGGGTAGCATTTCCAGAAGTCTCCATATATATGGAAGGAGGCGCGACGTCCTGTTCCGACCAGAGAGAGTTGTATAGAATCTGTCTTCCTCGGTGAAACTGAAATCGCTTTGTGCTTTCCGCTGCTCAGTTCATCTCATCTCGCAATCATGTCTGAAAGGAGGAGCAATCGATCCATGAAAGCGTATGGTTTCTTCATTTCGTAAATTAATTAGTACTTGATTCAGATCACTAGCTGCAGTTTATATGTTCTCCTCTTTAGCTGTGGTTGATTGTTAATTGTTTGAATTTACTTTGTCGGATTCGGTGTGCAGTTGTTGTCTTTGCACATTTGAAAGCTGCCTAGGGTTTGGATCTGCTTCGTCTTAGTAGATCGATTGGTTTTTCTTTGTTTAATTATTCTTCGTTAATGTCGATCTGAGCATTTTATTTCTATGGAGTTGATTTTGACTCATCATTTGTTGTGCAAGATCTGTAACTCACTCTGGTTTGATTGTTCCAATTTCAGATCGTCATCCAAAACTGTCCAGAAACCAGAGAAGTTGGAATTAGACCTTCCTGGAGAGCTTGTAGAACAAATCATGTCCTTGTTATGCTCTGGGGACAGAGCTCGAGCTAGCTGTGTATGTCGAAAATGGCGAGACATAGCAAAGTCTCTCAAAAAGACAAACCGACCTCCGATGAATGTGAACGTCCAAGCGTACGATGAGTTCTTTGACATCTGCGACCTCTCTCGCTGCCTGACAAAAGTGGTCATCATTCCTAATCGACCTAAAGGCATAGTCAGTTACGCGAAGGACGGTTGGATGTTGTTTTATCACAATGCTGCCCGCGCGATGAATTTCTACAATCCTCAATCAGATGAGGTTGTTGAACTCCCAACGATCCTACCTACTGTTCTGATCGATATGGCTGCTTTCTCAGCCCCGCCAATGTCGCCTAACTGCGCTGTATTCTTGCTGCCCATTACCTCCTTGCCTGGTTCTCCCGATGTCCTTATTTGGCGCCCGGGGGATATGCTGTGGACCTTTGTCGAGTATGATAACAAAAGACATCGATCCATAACCTCCACTTGGATAAATGTCGTGGTTCGCAACGGGAAGTTCTATTGTATGAACATCCATGGCTATATGGGCGAGTTTGATCCCGTAAAATGTAGTTGGAGAGCTCTCCCATACGAGCCCCTCGGATGCGCCCAATCTGTCCCCTCTTATGGGTGGGGGAAAAGCTTCTACATGGCAGAGTACGGAAGCGAATTCTTTCTAGTGCGCATTTGGGGTGTGGCGAAACCCATCGTCTACAAATCGGATGGGATCAGCTGCACATGGAAGAGGGTAAAGCACTTAGATGGCGCAACCTTTTTTGCGAGCACCACGACATCCCTCGTCCGGGATGAACTCCCCAATCCGATGAGAAACTGCATTTATTTCCCGGAGTGTGTGGATGATGGGAGGCACTGTCTTGTCTATTCCATGAAACTCAAGAAATTCTATAGGAAAATGCAAAAGTTGGACAGGTGGAAGACGGAATATTATTACGACGACGTATGGATGGACATTGGCGATCGTGAGGTTCCGGTGATGGAAGAAAGAGACGACGTTGCCCGTATGAATCGGGATGTTGCGGCAGCATTCGGGCGGATGCATCTAAAAGCCTTTGGAACGGAGCTCGTTGCTTAGGACGCAACGACATATGCTTTGCTTAAAATTTTAGTTCATGAGATTTTATTTTAAGTTCTATTATGTTATTTTCTGTCATTATATACACCTATGCTTTGATTATTTACTAATCCCTCCATCCCATGAAATTTGGGTGTGCTACTGTAGACACGTGAATTTAATTAAAATATGATGTGTAAGTAATTAAAAAAAATGTATCAGAAAACCAATTATTGTATAGTAAAAATAATTGTAGATTAAGATTAGCATAACTAAATAGTTTAATTAATATTAAAAAAATTATAAAATTTAATTACAATGCGATTAAAGTCGTATAATTATATTTCTAAAAACAAAATAACAAAGTTACGTAAGACGGACAAAAATAGAAAATAGAAACAAATTATCTTATAAATCAACAAAAGTTAATGTGCTGATATATATTATATAGTAAAAAAAAAAAAAATGTATCATACAACATCCTATATTTCTTGATCTTAAACATATTCAAATACAATTATCGAAACAACGACAAAACCCAAAATATACTTTTAACTTTTCAAGTTTATGTTTGCAACTTTCGCTTAAGCGGCTCGTAGAACTTGTTTATTTCATCCATCCATGAGTAATCCATGATCCCGAGGTGATTGCTGGCTGCTCGGACAGACTTCCCCCGGGTTGTCTACCAGGCTTAGATGCGAGAGGATCCGTTCCAGAAGATCAACTGGAAGATCCCACTTTTCGGCCTGTCTATTTGAACTTGGGGGAAATTTTCCGATGATGAGGCTTTATTCCATAGTTCCTGCAAGTATTATATTGAAAATAATGGATCAGGTTCAGAAACAAAATGACCTAACAAATGTTGATCAATGCAAATTAAATCTTGAGATGGCCACCGTTGATACGGCTTCATGAACTATATGTGCGACATGTAAGTATAAAATATGCGACCGACATGCACTACTACACAACTTCTATATCACATAATGAAATGCTTATGACCTACGAACATTTGGAATTTTCCTTTTATGTAGGGACAATTAATATGGCATGCATGTAAAGGTATATATCTTATCTCGGTGATATATAAAGCAACTATCGGCTTGATCGAGTTTTTTTTGTGTGCTTCCAGGTATTTTTCGAGTGTTATTCGGGTCTTTAATTTTTTTTTTATCATTTTTAAGTTTTTACTGTTATTAAATCATATTGTAATTTTTGTTGTTTATTGGATATGTATTTCGAGATGCTTGAAATCAAGAGAGATATATAGTTATAATATATTTAAGATTTTATTTCTTCAGTACTAAAAGTTTGAATTGCAAATAAATTAAAATTTTTTCTTTTAAATTACCCCTGCTAATATCACTAGATTGTGAGTATGATTATGAAATTTAATGGTAAAAGATGTCTAAAAATTATTAGCCTTCTACATAGATTTTGGGTTGGATTTTTTGTATTTATTATTTATTCTTAAAAATATCATTCGAAACTTTTTATTAAATAGATATTAAGATTGATTTAAAAATCACATCAAATATTTAATTTGTATTATTACTGTTATAATTCTAATTATATGCACCAAATATACTTGTTGTGTTAGTAATTTTCTCATAATATAAAACTTAGTTTTCTATTGTACCGGATAACTCGAATAAAGGGGGGCTAAGAATTTTTTTGCGAAAATTCGTATACTGAACAATCTGTATAATAAATGTATATATTAATATCATACCGAAATTTTGGTACAATATCGATATATATCATTTCATACCCAAATACTAAAAATTAAAATAATAATTTTGGTACCAATATATAGAATTATTTGTATATTACTGATATACCGAATATTAAAATACTAATATTATTTAATATATACTGAAAATATCAAATTATATATTATTACTGTACTAAAAAAATTCAATATGATATTAGATCATACTATTAGTAATAAAAAATTTAGTCTTCAACATGGATTGTAAAACTGATTCATCTTGTACACCAAAAGTTAACTGTTTAATGTCTAAATTATACTTGCTATTCTTATTTTCTTGTGTTGCCTTTTCGCTATCTTCTTCATCAAGTAGTATTATTATCCTTTTCATTCTTGTCTATTTGTATAATTCAATTCTTGCCGATTTTCTGTGGCTGTCCAAGAGCAAAAATATTGTTCCAAGTCGAGAAGGCATGCCAGATGGGGAATTCAAGCTTCCATATGAGATCTTGCAATCAATTTTGGGGAATTGAAGGGTGATACTGTAATGAATTTATTTACATGTTTTAAGTTATTACTTGTTTTCTGTTATTTTTCTCCTTTTGGGGAAATTTTTTGAAGAAATTCCTCACTTTGATTTGTACCTTTATTGTGTTTTTCGAGTGCATTGCTCTGCGCTTTGATTGTCTTATTTGTGTGCTTTTTGGCATTTGTCGAATACAATTCTGGTGCTAAGGTTTTGTCAATTTTCGATTTTTGTTGTACTCAAATTATATTTTGATATTTGTTGTTTATAAGATATATTTCAATGTGCTTGAAATCAAGAGATAAAACATATTTATGGTATTTTTTTTTTATTTGTTTTTACTATAGAATTTATTTGATACGCAATAATTGCATAAGAAAAACCTGAAACTAAATTAGAAAGAATAAAGATAAGGATTGGTTTGCCTTTGATTTGAATTTGTTATGTTCTTGATTTAAAAAATATATATAAAAACTATTTTTATTTCCAAAATATCATATCAAAATATTATTTAAACTAAAATTCAAACACAAAAAAATATAAAATAAAATAAAATATCTCAAATCAAAACCAAACAAAATATTACAAAACTAAATTATTTTTTGAGAAATTTTAATGTATGTGTAATACCCTGGAGTTGAATAGTGATACGATTCAGGGAGGATGAAATATCCCTGAGGTTGAATAAGAGGTTAAGCTTGCTTACTCTGTGGTAATTTGACGATGGGTCACCCCTGGAGTAATAAAACAATATACTGAAATATGTTTGTAATATTTTCTAAATATAAACTTTATGCTTAGAATATTATAAAAACAAACAATATTATTGTATACACGCTACAAAAAAAATAGTATATTTGTAACGGAATTCCATTCCTAAAGTTCACGTAGCTAACGTAATTCCATCTCTAATTCCGTCTCTAATATCATTAGTAACGGAAAAAGAGAATTTAGGAACGAAAAAATCTCGTTACAAAATTGATAATTTCTTGTAGTATACATAAAAATTACAATATAGAAAATTATTACATAACCTGAGAAAATTATTACATATTCAAAAGTCTCCTGATTTTAGCACGGGGTAATTTTGAAGAACAAAATTTAATTTATTTGCAATTCAAAATTTTATTACTGAAAAAATAAAATCTTAAACATATTACAGTTAGATAGAAATGAAAAATACCATACAACATGCTCTATTTCTTGATTCCAAACATATCCAAATACATGTTATAAACAACATAAACCTAAAAATCATAAAAACTGAACACTCAGATTTACACTCGAAACACACCAAAAAGCTTACAAAAAACTCAATCACGGCGCGAAGCAATGAACTCGAAAAACCCAATAAAGGCACACATCGCAGCGAGGAATTTCTTCGTAAATTTTCCAAAAAGAGAATTCTTTGACGAAATAAGTAACAAGTTAAACAGATTAAATAAATCTTTTCACCATATCACCCTTCAATTCCTTCAACTTCAGAAACAACAAATATGACTACAAAATTAATCCATTAAAACATACTACATACATTTTGTTTTAATGATTTTTCAAAAAAACTATTCTATCAAATAATTCTTTAATCTCATTGTACATGGCAATAAACATTAATTTATACTTATTTTTCAAAACAATAAAACTTCAAATATCTTCCAAAACAATGCAATCGAGTCCAAAATTCCAATTTCAATAATAAAAGTCCTTTAACGTCACATTTAAGTCAATATAAGTCATTCCCCAATCAATCTGGCCACAAAATATTTCCAAAGTACATGTTAGTCCATGTTATAGGACCAAAAATTAAAAAAAAAAAAAAAAAAAAAAAAACGGACAACAATACAACTAAAATTATACTCGAGGAATCGGAGTCGATTCCGGTGTGTGCCGAGGCTTTGAAGCCTCAGAAGAATTCAGAGAGGTCGTCGGGGGCATCGATCCATATGTTCTCATACGGCTTCTCGTTGCATAGATTGTAGCCTTCTTGTCCGGGGAATCGCTTTTGCGTAAGGGAATATATAATGGGGCGCTTCCCGTAAAAAATCACCTTCGAGAAATAAATACTATTTCTCATTATACCTATCATATCTGTCCAAACAAACGAGGTCATATAGTTAGCAAAAATGGTCAGGCCGCCGAAGTCTTCGATCTCCACCCAATCATTTGCAGCGCTGTCGAGCTTATGTACAAAAGCGTTAAGAAACGGTTAAGCGTATATCAAATAAATATCCCCGGCATGCTCTGCCATGTGCATCGCCCGCTCGCCTATGTCAAGCAGGTTCACCCTTATGCACTCGGGTCGTTCGACAGGGACGACTGACCAGGCACTATTATCGGTATCGTAACATGCCAATTGGCCGCTTTGGCTAAGACAGTAGAAGTGCCCGTTGCAAAAAGTCCATTGATTCGGATTGCTGCTGATGAACAGTTCCGGGTTCTCGAAATGGTTGACAGTCCATGCGGCATCCCCGGGGTGATATGTGCTGATTGCGATCACATGAGGCTGAAGCTGCATTAGTGCAGTCACAATGCAGCCGGGAGTGTTCGGCGCGGTTGAAAAGGCGGCTAATTTACTCGGAAAATCCATTTGCGGCAATTCAACGGCCTTCTGAGTGTACGGGCTGTAGAATGTAAGCGAAAGGCGTACATGGCTGTAGAGCAACAGCCAACTGTCGTTGCAGTAACAGACGAGTCTGTACTTTATCCCGGACAGCCGTAGGTAATGCGACTTGCGCTCAAGCGGGTCGTATAACTCGTTTGTTTTATACATCCAGGAGTGGTACATGATCCAAGGGTGCTTGTTGGATACTCGGAAAGACTTTGCCACAGCCATCCATCTGTGGCAGACGCCGGATGCCCAGACGTTGTCTACCAGGCTTAAGCGCGTGAGGTTATTTTCCAGAAGTTCGACTGGAATATCCGACTCTTCGGCCTTTTTATTTGGCCTCCTTGGAAAATCCTCGATTCTGAGGCTCGATTCGTTACTTCTTTTCCCAGAGATCTTGCAAACATTATATTGAAAATAATTAATTGATTAGACTGAGAACTAAAAAGAACTAACAAATGTCAGACGATAAATAAGAAAATTAAATGTGCGACTTACATGTACAATTTATGCGGCCTAAATGCACTAATACACGGCATGCTTTATCATAAATTGGAACTCTTATGACCAGCGAATATTTTGGCACTTCCAATCTATGTGGAGAATTAATACGATCGGATAAACACGAGCATATATGTAAAGTGATCTTATTTATCTTCTAATATGTAAAGCAACTTTCTCGTTATCCTTTAAATATGCTTTAAATATCTTGTTTATTGGATATGTATTTCGAGATGCTTGAAATCAAGAGAGATATATAGTTATAATATATTTAAGATTTTATTTCTTCAGTACAAAAAGTTTGAATTGCAAATAAATTAAAATTTTTTCTTTTAAATTACCCCTGCTAATATCATGAGATTGTGAGTATGATTATGAAATTTAATGGTAAAGAATGTCTAAAAATTATTAGCCTTCTACATAGATTTTGGGTCGGATTTTTTTGTATTTATTATTTATTCTTAAAAATATCATTAGAAACATTTTATTAAATAAATATTAAGATTGATTTAAAAATCACATCAAATATTTAAATTTGTATTATTACTGTTATAATTCTAATTATCTGCACCAAATATACTTGTTGTGTTAATAATTTTCTCATAATATACAACTTAGTTTTCTATAGTGCCGGAGAACTCGAATAATGGGGGGCTAAGAATTTTTTTGCGAAAATTCGTATACTTAACAATCTGTATAATAAATGTATATATTAATATCATACCGAAATTTTGGTACAATATCAATATATGTCATTTCATACCCAAATACTAAAAATTAAAATAATAATTTTGGTATCAATATTTTGAATTATTTGTATATTAATGATATACCGAATATTAAAATACTAATATTATTTTAATATATATTGAAAATATCAAATTATATATTATTACTGTACTAAAAAAATTCAATATGATATTAGATCATACTAATAGTAATAAAAACTTTAGTCTTCAACATGGATTGTAAAACTGATTCATCTTGTACAACGAAAGTTAACTGTTTAATGTCTAAATTCTACTTGATATTCTTATTTTCTTGTGTTGCCTTTTCGCTATTTTCTTCATCAAGTAGTATTATTATCCTTTTCATTCTGGTATATTTGTATAATTCAATTCTTTCCAATTTTCTGTGGCTGTCCGAGGCAAAAATATTGTTGCAAGTCAAGAAGGCATGCCAGATGGGGAATGCAAGCTTCCATATGAGATCTTGGAATCAATTTTGGGAATTGAAGGGTGATACTGTAATGAATTTATTTACATGTTTAAGTTATTACTCTTTTTGTGTTATTTTTCTCTTTTTCGGGAAATTTTTTGAAGAAATCCCTTCGTAATGTCAGGCTCAAAAACACTCACAATAGCCAGCGAGCGGTCAGAGAAACCAGCCGGAAGGAAGGAGGCTTGACTAAAAAAGTTTGCAGCAAGCCAAGCATGATTGACCATTGCTCGATCGAGCTTTGCCCAATACCTCTGGTTCATCCATGTGTACTTACAGCTAGAGATGGGAATGTCTGAGAGTCCTTAAGTTGAGACGCAGTAAAGGAGGTCCTGGTAGTAGTAGGGATGGACAGAGTGGCTGTTATGGCGATCCGAAGGCTTCAAAATCGAGTTGAAATCCCCAAGGATGATCCAAGGTAAATTCTGGTTAGGTCCCAGATTTATCAGACTGTCCCAAAGCCATCTATGCTTTGGGACAGTCTGATAATGTTTTTTCATTTTAGTTCTTTTTTGTAATTTGTAAATTTTGTGCAGGTATTTTCTGAAATATATGTTGCAATCTGATGAACTGAGGGAGATGGACATTGATTCTTCTATTGCTTCATATTTGCATACCTTGTATGTTTCCTATTTTTGCTTTCTTGACACCTTTAACTCAATATCTCCCTCAATATATGTTTTACACATTTATTGGTATTTGATCCAGCGTAAGTATGCAAATACTAATCTTCTGTATGTTCTCTACCAATAGTGGATTTCTGAAAGTTTGTGAGTTGGAAGGCTTTTCAACGATCCTTTGATCTCCTATGTTTATTGGTTCTTCCCAGGTGTATGTTTAGGAACGGGTAAAATTAATGCTTTGTTTATATATAAATATATTGTCCATAAGATTAATGTTTAATAAACTAATCAATTGTTTGTGTTTTACTTCAAGTAAAAATGTCTTTTCAAAACAATGAAGCATGGATGTATCATAAATTAGACAAACAATGACTTCATGCATGTAATTATTAAAATATTGAAAGACCAACAAATACAAATTCGCATGGACACTGCTTGTTGTGGTAGCTTGAACACATGGATGGCCTGCGAGTTCATGTTGGCCATGACCATGTGGTATTTAGCCTTCCTGTTCCGCAGTATGTTCATGGCCCTGGACGCGGACTCAACGAAACTCACAAGTGAGAATTAGGACATCACGATGATCTTTAGCAAATAATTAAGATTAATTAATTAAAAGAAAACTTCAGTACAAGGAAATGAAAATATAGCTACTTGGATAAGTGAGAGAAGCTTAATAATAATAGTTCAGAATATATTTTCATTTCCATCCATTTTGATCTTCCCTCATAAATGCAATTGACTAATTAATTTTTATAGATTTTGTTTCATTGTTCAAAAAATAATAATCCAAGGACATTTCTAGAATCTTCATATCCATCTCTATACTACAAGCGCACAAAATTTACACGATAGATCAACTTAGAACATAAAATAAAAACATGGAAACAAAAAAAAAAAAAAAATCAAACACCCCGGAGCTAAACAGGCCGGAGCAAAATTCAAAAGGGATTATCAATGAAAATCTATGTAATTCCGATATGTACGGGGCGTTACCTTTATTCTGACATACGTGAAGCATCTTAATATGAGTAAGGTGCTCGGAGTCATGGTCGTCCATCACTTAGCATTATATTTATTTTATGTATTTTCGCACTACTAATTCTATAATTAAAGTATTTCACTTCTCTAAATAATATACCATTTGATACCGTTTTGTCTTTCTGAAATTTTTAGTTCTAAAATGCTATATCCAATATACATTTATTAAAAAAACCTCCCAATCAACCACAAACACCCCGAAGAAAATCAAACACATTACAAATTATTATAATTACCATATATAATTATTATATATATGTACATATATCCATGACGAAATAATATAATGACTACACAGATGAAAATAATATAAAAATAAACTACAATTGAAATATCATTGAAAGTAAGGTAACATAGTATTATATATATGTACATATATCCATGACGGAATAATAAAATGACTACACAGATGGAAATTATATAAAAATAAACTACAATTGAAATATCATTGAAAGTAAGGTAACATAGTATTACTACCGAAATCTATGAGTGATAGAGAATATTCATGTATTGCTCAATAAATCATGTATTGCTCAATAAAAACACCTTTAAATTTATTGCAAGAATTAAAGTTTGTTTTTATCAATAATATGATTATCCAAGTATGATCAATTGTTCACTCTAAATGTCAGGGTCTAGTCTATTAACATGTTGTTTTGGTCTCCCATGAAAAGATAAAATTCTTCGAAACTATAATTACATAATTTTCATTTAATCCGCCAAATTTATTCTAACTTTTATTTTTCGTAAATCCATTATATTTATCCTCTGCACTGGCCCAAAATGAGCTAATATTTCCATACCGCGGTTGTATCTAATTTTCAGTCAAAACATTGTATCAACATCCCATTGAATCATATAAAATACTATTTCGACTCTAATTTTGAATATTGTTAAGTCTCAAATTCAAATCTAAACCAATTTTGTTTTGTAATATTTTCCAATTTATTCACTCGGAACATAGATACCTCACAATCTTTTCAGAATACTATCAAAATCATATTTTTTTTTGCACAAATTCCCGAACCCCACACCAAGTTTAAACTACACCCACAAAATTTTTCAAAGGGCTTTCAGTACTTCTTATGAAAATGGAAATTTTTAATTTTAAAAATTCCAATAAAATTTAATTTGTGTGAAAGGTAAAGTTAAATAAAGGAAACTTAATGACTATTATCATCAGCAATTGTCTTTGGACAAATTACCGACTCACATGTATATTATTCACACAAAAATAATCAAATTATCATCACCACATTCAATGTCACTGAACATGTATGTAACTACTTAATGGTAATCATAAGCCTTGTAAGTCACAAACACAACTTTTTAATAAATAAAATAAACTGATTTACAGAGACTGCTTTGCAACGTAATTGTTTCAACCAATTTACAAAATTCACCTTCAAAATAAAACTGATATGTATATCATATACAAATAAAAACTTTAACCGCAACAATTAATTTTTGGACTCATTAAAATAATCAAAGTAGTCTAAGAAAGTACTAGATGCAGCGGAATTACATAAATATGCCACCCAAAGAGACTATAAATTAATAAACTAAATAATTATAGTCGATTTGATCAAACGCATGCTGTCAAAAATATATGCTGATGTAATCCGAATTTAATTGGACTATAAAACGAATCATAATGAATATTCGATTTTATAAAGTCAACACTAATGAATAAATAAATAAATTCTGCACGTATTAAATCTAATTGCACGTACAATATCATACGCACATTAATTAATAAATTATGCAATACTCAAACCGGATGCATGTGTATAAATTGAACATCAATTTCAACCCCAACCTATTGATTAAATAAATAAATTAATCCAATCATAATGCCAAAATCGGTGCAGATATTTAAGACATGTTCATTGATTCCAGAATAAATGAACAAAAATAACCAAACATCTAAATGCTATTTTATTTAAATTGCACATATATTTATTCTGGTTGCATCCCATAATTGAACCAATAAAATAAAAAGATAATCTTGAATGCCAATAAAATAACTATGTATTAAACTTCAATTGATTGAACAAAATATCACACTCAATTGAATATGCCAATTTTCTTTAGATGCACCATTGTTACAAAATGGCACATCGCTAAATTATTAGAAAAATAATTATGTAGACAAACAAACTCATGTCATACATACATGTTGAAACAATAAAACAATAATTTGTAACTTTCAATATAATTAATATGAACTTTAAGTTCTAGTAATTGCCAATAATAATAACACCCTGAAGTAATGGCATGTAGATCAAGAGTCTTATGGAGTTGTCTAGAAAGTCTTTTGGTTATACATATGGATGTATTCCTTATTTCATTGATGAGAAAATAAAGAACTTATCTTCAAAGCATAGTGAGCAGCACGTAATTTTTTCTTCCGCAAATCCTTCTACTATCTATCATACACAACAAATTTGGTATCGCAGCTTCAAAACAATGTCCAGTTTTGTTCCTACCATGTTTAAATATTCCCCGAGTGAGGTTCCAATGTTTGAAAAGGCGATCATTACAATTATTGAAGTAGTGAAATGCAAGATTTCTTCATTTTGACATGATCTTTCGGACATTGTAGCAGATGGATTCTAAGAACCACCTTGTAGAAGGTGTGTCTGCAGCTTGGACTAACGCTCCGCAAAAAAATACAAAGAAAATAAGAAAAAAGATTGCACTGCACTTCGCTACATCAAGCAAGGAGTAGGTAAGACAATTTATCCACGGATTTTTCAATAAAAAGAAGGCAAAAGATGCATGGGACGTGTTGAAGGAGGAGTTTCATGGCAATGACAGAGTTCTCTCTATTCGTCTTCAATCTCTATGGAGGGACTTCGACAACTTGGCGATGAAAGAGGTGAAAATGTGAGTAAATTTTTTACAAAAGTTGTTGACATTGTCAATCTCATTGAAAGTCTGGGAGACAGCATCCAAAAGCAAGAAGGTAATCGAGAAGCTTCTCAGAAGTTTACCTCCTAAATTCTACCATTGTGTTGCTGCCATAGAGGAATCCAAAGATTTGTCCATGATGTCACTTCATGAGTTGATGAGCTTGCTTCGGGCTCACGAACAAAGGATTGAAAGAGCTCAAAATCAGTCTTTTGAGCAGGCCTTTCAATCGAAGACTTTTGTTTCAGCAAAGTCTCACCAAAATGCACCACAAAGACAGAACTTTTATAGAGGCGATTAACCCAACCGAGGAGGAGAACGAAAGAAAGTATTTGTTCCAAAGAACAGGGACGAGAATCTTGAGAAAAAGCCAGCACGCTGCCCGTATTGCATTATCTCCAAGAAGTCCAATCATGATTCGAAGGACTGCTTTTATAAGTGCAGGAGGTGTCGAATTCCTAATCACTCACAACGGGACTGTTGGTATCAAAAGAAGGGGCAAACTGAAGCAAATTTCTTGAAGGAGCACAATGCCGAATCTGAGACATTATTTTACACGAGCGTAAAAGATGAAGATCAGAAATCCGACCTATGGTATCTGGACAGGGGCTGCAGTAGCCACATGACAAGAAATAAAAGCCAATTTGAGCAACTTGACAGGAGCTGTACTTCACACGTAAAGCTTGGAGA